TAAAAATGATTTTTCCTAAATTCATTTTTCCTAAATTCATTTTTCCTAAAAATCATCCTACTATATATATAAAAAAATAGTGTCTGTGTGTTTGTGTGTGTGTGTGTGACACTTTGCATGCAACTTCCGTCAGGGTGTCCGGAAGATATCTCAAGAAGGGCAGGGTATTAAGCGACGTATGATACGTCATTAGGTGCGTAATGGTTCTGGGATGACTGCACGCATATCAAATGTTGCAAATTCTGCTATTTTCGACATTAAAATTAAGTTTTTGTTGAAAAATCGGCCGATCTCTTTGTTAGGAAAAATTAGCATACTCCGGAAGTGACGGTAGCCTATATATAATGCGAGAGAAAGGCCTTTTCCATTTTTTCAATGCAGGGAATTCGAGAAACGTATGCAGAGTGAAGAATATTATGGGGTTGGACAGGGCCAGGGTTGAAAAGTCGCGAAGCGGCTTTTCAACCCTGGTTATTCCTAAAAGTCATTTTTCCTAAAAATCGTTTTTCCTAAAGTTCATTTTTCCTAAAATTTTTCATTCAATAGGGATGCGTAAAAATATCAAGAAAGGCCAAATGTTGTCATTTTTAGCAGTATTTGTTTGGTTTGGTTATTAGTAGGCTTTTATCGAAAATCTTTCTTATTATCATTGATCCTTTTTCACTTCAAATCACCCAAATCTAGGCTAAACGCGCAACTAAAATACTTCCCATGGCCATTCTAGGCATATCTAAATCCATTATAAAAAATTTCGATTTTTGGATGCATCATACTAAAGAACCGAGACTTTTTCGATATTTAACCGGTTTTAGGAAAAATGATTTTTAGGAAAAATGACTTTTAGGAAAAATGACTTTTAGGAAAGATGGCTTTTAGAAAAAATGACTTTTAGGGAAGATGACTTTTAGGAAAAATGACTTTTAGGAAAAATGACAGTAATTCCTCTAGGGTCAGCCGGGGCCCCAGGGCAAGGCGACTCACCCTTATATAGCCTTTTTGGCGACTGAACCTTGGCTCTCCTCTTTCTAGTACTATCTCGATACCCTATTTCTCTGCCCTCTCCACAGCTAGAGATCACGCTTCCTTTTTTGGGCGTTTTTGGCGTGCTACGACCTACTCTGCTCCCCACAGCTCAATCCAGCCGCGCAACCCGCCCCGGTGATTGGAGGGTTATTGCCAATCTATCCGCAGTTTTGCGAAATTCAGCTCGTTGTTGTTGTAGAGCGTACAGTTTTTCAGCCCATTCGCTGTTTTGAGAACTGAATTTCCGCAACAACTTTGTTTCTCTCATTTTCACTCATTTTCATTGGGAGCCTTGCAATTTGGGGTTTTAGGTTGACTGTGCATATCTTAGTCTAAACCTTGCTATACTTGAGTTAAATTAATGGGGTTGTCTGACCACAGATCCATCCACACGCCTGCTTACCCTCTTATCGCACATGGACACGACTGTTTTGCGTCTTTTGGCCAGCCATCCTAAGCATCGACTTTGCGTAGCTTAACCAAACAAAAACAAGATATTTTAGTTTATTCAGGTGAATCATTTTGGTTTTGGCTTCAGTCGGGTCTTCCGGTCAGCCACGTTTGACTATTGGCTGCTTTTGAAGCTTGGAACTGCATAATCACCAGATCCCAATGTTCCTTAAAAATCTCCGCTAATTTTAAGGTATCCAGAATAATTGTATCATGTCCATTTCCACTCCGAAACTATTCTCTAGCCGCTATTATTGGCCGTTCTGATTGTGAGGCCCGGGGGGTACATTTCACGGGGCCCGCGCAGATCTCCTAGGGGACAGCCGCCCGCCACCCACCCCTGCCGGAATACAATCACTTTTTGCACCCCCCAAACGGCTGCATATTACGGCCAGGAGGGGGAGGTTGGGTCTTTTGAGGGACCAGAGGGCCAAGGCACAGACAACAAAGAAACAAGAGGAACCGTCTTTTTAGCCTAGAAAAAAAAAAGACCTTTTTTAATTTCGTTTCTTTTCTTTTCTACCTACACTTTCCTTTTTGAAAGAAACAATCCAATTGAAGTAAGGGTTGCGATCAGTTGTCTTATAAATTTGCATGCCTTTGCATTTGTTAAAATTAGTTTAACTAAACTTTGACAAATGCTACGACTTTTTCTAAACATTAAAATAGTGCCTGACGATTTCCGATTGCCGTTTTGCGTTTGCTTTGTTTAAAAAAAAGATGGCATTTAACTACGAAATTCGTTGGACTTTCCCGTATTAAATTTTTGCTATCTGCGCGGCCCGCTTCACGCAACGCGCACCAAGTTTTAATTTGGTTACGCTGCCGTAATCGAATACAAAAATACTGCGACGCGCGTTTCGTGTCGCGGTCAACAAAAATCGGTTTTATGCCGATTTCCGTCTGAATCTTCTTCGCCGTGACACACCACGCATGGTCCGAGCTTTTGCTTGCGTAATCGATTACGACACTAAAAATAAGGTCGGCCCGTTTGCGCGTTGCGTATCGCGCTGGCTTTATAGCCCCCAATAATCGATGGTCAATAAAATCTATGTTTCTGCCTTGCCCCTCCCTTTAAACCAGATGCCAGCCCAAATTCTGCACCCAGATTCCCCGCGCAGCTTGTTCAACTGCTCAATGTATTCACTAGGCGAGATTAGCCAGGCAGAGGCCCTGTGTTGCCATTTTGCCTTGGATGTTTGTAGTGTCAGGAAGGTATCCTGGGGGTCGAGGAGGTAGGGGCTGAACAAATATCCGCGCGGCTCGACCATTCGCTGCCTATAGTGGCCGAGCACGACCTCCACCATCCACCCAAAACCATCCCCAGGCCTCCCCGTCACCTCAATGGCCCTTCAAGGGCAAACCTCAACGCGCGCGCTTGCGTACAGTTCATTTCAACATGCTACGCGCTGACCACTTTGCGCGGACCGTTATACCTGACTTTTTGCGAACTTTGAACACTTCTGGATCTGGTATTCATTACTTTTTGATCGTCTAAAAAGCTTTCCAAGGATGCGTCGCTTTGTCACATTTGACAATACTTAAAGAACTATTCCATCGTTTTATTCGCGTTTTATTCCCTTTTGCGTAAAATTTCTTCTTTTAAAAAACTTTTGACAATTCTGACCCGAAGAGCCAACTCGGCTAATCTTATTTTCTAGAACTTTTGCGGCCGAAAAGTAATTGTCCACATATAAAACGATTTATGCCCTTTTTATGAGCGTACAAAAGGTGGAAAACACTTTTGACGCACCATGTCGGTCTCATTTGATAAGATTGCAGCCTTGAATGTCCTTTCCTTACGTGACAAATCCCTTCCCTCCCCACTAATGCATTTTCTAGTAGGGGCTATCCGCGCACTTGCTGTGATTCAAATGCATATAAATTCCAAATCATCTTTTAGATCAGAAGTCGAAAAATGCTGTTTTTACAGTAAATTCCATTCGAGTACTGAAAAAAAAACAATTTTTCGCTATTATTTTTTTGCTTTTTAAAACTCATCTATTAGAACTTTTTTAATACCGTAGTTAAATAAGCGTTAGGCCTTCTAAAGGTAAAAACGGCATAATGTCCCAAAAATGCGCGGTCTCCATGGTTTTGCACTTGCCAAAACGCCTACCAGCCTTTTCCTAAACCAAAGTATGTTTTTGATCGACACCCTCCCTCCACTCATCCAACTCGACAAATTTGCACATCGAAACCCAATCCGCCGTACCATTCAAAAAAGTTTCTCCGCAAAAGCCCCGTTCTCCACCGCCCGGGAAAATTAATTTCCGCCCGCCCACTACACGCAGCCCGAACTGACTAATTCAGGGTTGGGAGCCGATTCCGCCAGAATTCTCAGTTTTTTGTGGCTGGCATCGATCCAAAAATTGGACACATTTGGGGTTTCTTTTGCCGTTCTTTTCAGCTTTTCATGGGGCTGTGCGGCATCTTTTTCGACTCCGAAAAAGAGTCGATTCTTGTTTGCTCCGTGCTAGGCGAAAAATAAACTTTCTTGGCCCAGGTTGAAGCCGGGCGGGCAGTTTTCCTTTGATGAGTGGTTTCGAGAGTGATAAACCTAACTGAATGCTACGTTTTTTGGAATTTAGATCTTGTCTAAAAATTGTTTTTATCGTAACTTGGTCTTTAAACGTTTTTGACACGTTTTTCTGAAATTTTTGTAGCTTAAATTGCATTGGCCCGGAATTTAATAAATATAACAAAGCCTGAATATTTCTTTTTTATTATTTATGTATTTTTATGATTAAGTTCCCTGTAAATTGATAGCAAGGTTTTTCAGATACATAGGCACTTTTAAAACTCTTTAAGTTAACGCTGAAGACAAATTAAACTGGCGGCGCCTTATCCAATTGCTGTGATTTTGTTATACATAAATTTTATCTCTAGTTGTAAATTAAGAACTTCTCTTGAATATTTTAGCTTAAAATCGTTTTTTAGCCTTGCATGCCCCAAAATTCCATGCCGCCGTCCAAAATTGCCTCCACTTTTTCCCCGCGGTCCATCCATTTTTCCATCCTGACTCATTCGACCTCCACGAGAACCATCCTAAAACGTTTTTTCTATGGGGGCCTAGAACGGGTTTTGAGTGTTTTGCGGCGCCTGGACAAATTTGTCGTTACTGTTTTTTGGGATTTTGCGGGATGGTGGGTCCTCACGCGAAAAATTCCTCATGCTTCGGAGTTTCAAAAACCGTCTCGATGTTAATTTATTGGAATGTTATTTCCAAACAAAATTTCGAGGGCTTTGCCTCAAATAAACTCTGCTAGTTTGCCACAAATGTAATTTTTAATAATTTTTAATAGTTTTTACCTTTTGATCTGTGGTTTTGTTTAACCAGCTTTACAAAGGTAATAGTGGAATTTTTTAGGTAATAACTGTCCATTCGGGGAATGGTCAACGTCTCGCACCAATGCCGTGACGGAATTCTAATCCCGGCCCTGGCCACCTCGAACCGAAATGCGTTCATCTACCTGGCCGGGTTGTTGTACTGTTTTCTCGGTATCGCCATCGCGGCCGACATTTTTATGTGCGCCATCGAGAAGATTACGTCGAAAACTAAGTGAGTTGCAGTTTTCACATACCTTAACATCTAAGTCTCAATTTCAAACCATAAAAATGTAATAACGTGAAAACCCCAGCTCGAACGTAACCCGCTTCAAAACGTCTTGTTAAATTTTAGAAAAATCAAGATCAAACAAGAATCCGGCAAGCTCGTGGCCGCCGGAAATCAACCGGATCAACAGGAAGAGTATGAAGAGGTTCGGGTCTGGAACCCGACCGTTGCCAACCTCACATTAATGGTAGGTAAATCGATACCTTTGCAGCCTAGTTTTCGTTGTTTAGGCCCTTGGAAGTTCTGCTCCTGAAATCCTGCTCTCCATCATCGAAATTGTTGGCAATAACTTCCACTCTGGAGATCTGGGTCCCGGCACGATTGTTGGTAAGTCAAAAAAATCTCTGAAAGTCCATTTTTACGGCGGAGTGACAGCCAACTAAAACCCTAACGAAAGCAGACAGCTGAATCCGCCTCAGACAAAAATCTTGGCGTGTTTGAATCTCTAATTCTGATAATTTAAAAATTCAAAATTTGAAGCATGCGTAACGCTTCAGTTCTGGCCATAAAACGTCTGAATATCGCTTCCATTTAAACAGTTATTTTGCAGATCGGAATTTTAGCTGTCGGGAATATGGCTGTTGGGATTATACCTGACGAGATTGCATTTTTACCCAAAATCGCTCCAAACCCGAAAACACAAATTTCAGGCTCGGCCGCCTTCAACCTGTTCTGCATCTCCGCAATCTGTGTCCTCACCGTCGGCAAGAAAACCAAGCGAATCGCGCTTTTCAAAGTGTTCTGCGTGACGGCCTTCTTCGGAACCTTTGCCTATATCTGGCTTCTCATTGTAAGTCATAGTAGCTCTTTTGGATAATCCGTCATATACCCTAGGTTCTGGCATGGATTTCTCCTGACGTCGTAGAGCTCTGGGAAGCCATCCTGACGCTATTGTTCTTCGGAATCCTCGTCATAGCTTCTTACTGTGTTGACCTCGAGATTTGGAACAAGAATAAGAAGGCAAATCTGGAGACGGAGTTGCAAGATATTGAGGCAGATTTTTAAGGGTATCAGAATGAAGGTGAATTTTAGGATAGAACCTCTAAGAAACCGTCGAAGAATCTTGACGTTGAGATCAGGAATGTTGCTCGACGTCTGAGTTATGTCGATGGAGAGGTGAATTACTTCGTCTTATAACTATAATGACTTTTTTTAGTCAGTCCTCGACGCTCTTCCGGCTCCAGAAGAGGGTGACGTCCGGAAAATGGCCCGAGATGTCGCTCGAGTCTACCCAGGACTTGAAGCCGATGACCAGGCCAAGATTCTGGCGTACCGGCTAAACCAGAATAAGGTTGGTTGAATGGTTCAATTTCGATTCTGTAGCAAATGGCTTTCGTCGTCATTCAGATACCATAAATACTTTTCATCGTTTTTCAGGTCCGCGATCGTCTCTACTACCGTATCCGCGCCATTCGTCAATTGACGTCTTCCTGGAAGAAGACCGACGAGGAGAAGGAGGTTCAAGAATTGGAGGAGAAAGAAGCCGTCAGCCCGGATCATACCTCGCAAAGTAAGTCGGCCGCCAGATGAATCCAGACGACAGTGGGGCAATACCAATATAAAGTCGCCGAAAGCTAATACTTAGCTGAACATTATTTAATACACATTCAATCCTCCACGTCTTCAGAATTGAAGCCGCGGATCGAGTTCACAGCTCGTGTCTACGCGGTCTATCCGCAAGATAAGAAAGTCAAGCTGTCGGTATGTTCATTCTTTAAGAGCACGATCCTATTATTAAAAAAATCTTTAGAAAAATAATATATTTTTAGGTAATCCGGCGAGGCAACAGTGATACGGCCCTGACGCTCAACTACAGTACGGTGGATGGTATCGGCAAGAAGGATCTTCACTACTTACCAAAGGTCAGCCGTTTTGGTTTCGTCGTATTGGCATTACGGTTATAGGTATGTTCTATTCAAAATGGAAGTTTACTATTATCTAACGATGATACCTTTCAGATGGAAAACCTGCGCTTTGCCCCGCAGGAAATGCAAAAAGACATCGTCATCGATTTGGTCGATGGAGCGGATTGGAGGCCAAACACCGTCTTCTACGTCCACCTGAAAATTGTGGTGCGTTAAAGCGACTATAATCGGAGATTCTGATCTTTTTAGAGTCTTCCGGTTCAATTTCACGGTTAGATAGTTGTTGTATGGTTTGGTTTGCATTGCTTTTTTTAGCTTGTAGTTGTTGTAGCTTTCTCGGCGGCTTAGCGGGTTTAAAGGCAACTGCTGTGTCCGTGTTTTGAAAAAATTGCTTGAAAACTGAACCACGGAAACAAAGATAGGTTTAGGACCAGGACGAGGGCGGCAAAACGAAACTTGGTGAATGCAATATCGCTCACGTCAAATGCCCCGAGGATACCACGTCCTTTAGTGGAACGCCGAACGTCGAATTTGTTAAGGGCAACTATGTAAGTTTCAGATTTTATTATTTAAGGTGTTTCTTAAATATTATCCAGTTTTCTCTATTATCCACTTTTTTAGGTTTGCAAAGAAAATTGTGGCTGGGTGCGGGTCTTCATCACAAAGAGGGGCAAAACTAAAACTCCCCATGATGTCGGCGTTCGTTTCGAGACTGAAGACATTTCGGCGAATGCTAATGAAGACTACGTTCCCTATAAGAATGCACTGTTGTATTTCAAGTACGCTTGCATAGCTTACCTCACTTTTCATGTGACTTTCAGGGGCCAAGAATACGAAAAGTACATTGACGTCGAGGTTGTTGATGACAAGGACGATGAAAAAGATGAAACCTTTTCGGTTGAGTTGCTCGGGACTGAAGATCGGGGTATGTTTTTCTCAAAATCGTCTCCATTTATTTAAAAAATCTAGAACTTCACGTTCTGGTTTAGAAACTACCATCGGCAACAAAAAACGCACGATCGTGACCATCATTTCGGATGACAACGTCTTGAAAAATATCACAAATACGCGAAAATTGGTCGGCTATTATTTGAAGCGAATGACGCCGGGACAGGTAGAACCTTAAAAATTCCCCAAGCACTTCTTTCAGCCAGGAAGCAATAATATACAATTAAATTTCAGGCCACTTGGCGCGAACAAATCATCAACGCCGCTTCGGTGAATTCTGGAGACGTTGCCAACGCTACTGTACTTGATTGCGTCCTGCATGGGTTGGCCTTTCCTTGGAAGGTCGGAACCGTTTATTTTCGAAAATACAGTGCCGTTTTAAACGATCAATTTACCCGGTAAAAACTTCGTTGAATCCATTAGAATGAGCGTTTTGTAGTCAAAATCACAAAATAAAACTCTCAAATAAAATTGCAAACCGTCTTTAGTTTGCCTTCGCCTTCGTACCGCCGCCAATGATGATGGGCGGCTGGTTGTGTTTCGTTGTCGCATTAATAGCCATTGGATTGGTGACCGCTGTCGTAGGTAGGTCAAAGACCGGTATCAGAATATCCTAAAGTTTCTTCGTTACGTGGCGTAAGCTAATAATCACTCTTCAGGTGACATCGCCTCAATCTTCGGTTGCATGGTCGGAATGCCGGACGCTATTACGGCCATCACATTGGTTGCCCTTGGAACGTCACTTCCGGATACTTTTGCGAGCAAAATCGCTGCTGAAAACGTTAGTCATAGATAACCCTTGTTGGTCAACTATCGTATGCGACGCAACATATAACTTGTACCGTGAATTCTAGGATGATTTCGCAGACAATGCAGTCGGAAACGTGACCGGCTCGAACTCTGTGAACGTCTTCCTCGGCCTTGGGCTGCCGTGGTTGGTCGCCGCTTTCTACTGGTGCGACAAGGGACAACCTTTCGTCGTGAAGGCCGGAGATCTAGGCTTTAGGTGAGTAGGCTCTCAAAAGTTCTTTCTCACGCTCTCTCTCTCTCTCTCTCTCGCACTTTATCACTCAATCGCTCTTTATCGCTCTCGCTCACTAGCTCTCTCACGATCCCTCTCGCTCGTTCTTTTTCACTCTCTCTCTCTCTCTCTCTCTCTCTCTCTCTCTTTCTCTAAATCTTTCGCTGTCTCTCTCGCTCTCGCTCTCTCCTTTTTTCTCTGCCCGTTCATCCAAAATCAACAATTTTAGCGTTGCCGTCTTCACAATCTTTTCCATCATCTTCCTCATCGTCCTCATCGCCCGCAGAATGCTGGCCGTTTTCGGAAAAGGAGAACTCGGCGGGCCACCAGGTCCAAAAATCGCATGCGGCGTCTTCTTCATCCTCCTCTGGGTCGCTTATATCGGCCTTTCCATCTGTAAAACACAGTAGACCTGAATTACTTTTCCCAAAAATCGTCTTTGTACCAATTTTTTTTGTTCCTGAATTACGGTCACTAAACCCATCCCAAATTTTGCCTCACTGCCAAAGCCCAAATGTTTTGCATAATAACTTCCCAAACTATTGAGATTCGCGTGTGGTTGTGTTTGTCTATGTATTCTCAGGTTTCATTTCTCTCCTTTTTCGTTTTATTAAAACTTACTAGCAAAATAACATGAACAGTTTTTGAACTAATGTGATATCAGTATTGTGAGGTGGTTGTGACGTACGTACGATAAAACGATATTTATTTGGGATTCCACTTTTGAATTTTTGTAAAAGAAAAAGACATAAAAACCCGGAAAGTTGCTTAATTGGGCTTGGCTAAGAAGTTTGTATATATATAAAGAATTATGATTTCGTAGCAGGTAGAAACTGCAGCGCAAAAAAATCGAAAAGGAACGGGTTTAGGAAAACGAGTCGTCTTTCACAGGTTCTGCCGAAATCTCAACGACTTGACCAACTTCTGTGTCACTCTTCTCCGAAATTGTGGAAATGGAGAGATCTTCTTTAAACTCGTGCATCAACATCCGATTTTCATCGGCCAGCTCCATCAGTTTTTCATTGTAAATTCGAGCGCAGGGCAGGTAGTCCTGGAATTCACTATTGCGAATTGATCATTAAGTTGCGTAGATTAGCAGAGACATTTGAGGTTTTCACTATGTAAAAAACGGCTAACAACATCGGATACAAGTGATGGTTCCGCGCGGTTACCGGGGGTGACATTTTTAGCAGTGGGAACCATTTTCTGTTTTTCCACCCATATCTATCTGTTGATGACATATGACCTTTTTTAAAGTGTTTTTAGCAGTTTCTGATTGCTCGAAAGTTAGACAAATTATTTTATAGTTTTTAAAAATTCCATTGGTTATCAATTTTTGTCATTTTCGTACATTTTTGACCAAAAAGCCAAACATTTTGGAAAATTTTAGTATTTTTTAGAATGTTTTTATATCTAAACCAGCGGGGGAGGAGCCGCTTCGCGACTCTCCCCCGCTGGACCCCGTCTAGGCCTGATGAATCGAGCACCCTTCCACAGACAGTTATCCTGAAGAAAGAAAAACCCATCTCCCATGCAAAGCTCTTTGTATTGGCATGCGGCGCAAGATTGAACTGTTAGTCTCGTTATTAGGCCTGCGGCGCATGTTTGATCGGCTAGGTCGCTACCTCATCCTGCGGCCCAAGCTTGAGGGATTAGCCTCCTTTTTTTGGCCTTTGGCGACAGCTTGAGCGGCTGGCTTCGTTCTGAAGCCTGCGGCGCTAGCTTGAGCGGCTGGCTTCGTTCTAAAGCCTGCGGCGCTAGCTTGAGCGGCTGGCTTCATTCTAAAGCCTGCGGCGCTATCTTGAGCGGCTGGCTTCGTTCTGAAGTCTGCGGCGCTAGCTTGAGCGGCTGGCTTCGTTCTAAAGCCTGCGGCGCTAAGCTTGAGCGGCTGGCTTCGTTCTAAAGCCTGCGGCGCTAGCTTGAGCGGCTGGCTTCGTTCTAAAGCCTGCGGCGCTAGCTTGAGCGGCTGGCTTCGTTCTAAAGCCTGCGGCGCTAGCTTGAGCGGCTGGCTTCGTTCTAAAGCCTGCGGCGCTAGCTTGAGCGGCTGGCTTCGTTCTAAAGCCTGCGGCGCTAGCTTGAGCGGCTGGCTTCGTTCTAAAGCCTGCGGCGCTAGCTGAGCGGCTGGCTTCGTTCTAAAGCCTGCGGCGCTAGCTTGAGCGGCTGGCTTCGTTCTAAAAGCCTGCGGCGCTAGCTTGAGCGGCTGGCTTCGTTCTAAAAGCCTGCGGCGCTAGCTTGAGCGGCTGGCTTCGTTCTAAAGCCTGCGGCGCTAGCTTGAGCGGCTGGCTTCGTTCTAAATCCTGCGGCGCTAGCTTGAGCGGCTGGCTTCGTTCTAAAGCCTGCGGCGCTAGCTTGAGCGGCTGGCTTCGTTCTAAAGCCTGCGGCGCTAGCTTGAGGGGCTGGCTTCGTTCTAAAACCTGCGGCGCTAGCTTGAGCGGCTGGCTTCGTTCTAAAGCCTGCGGCGCTAGCTTGAGCGGCTGGCTTCGTTCTAAAGCCTGCGGCGCTAGCTTGTGCGGCTAGCTTCGTTCTAAAGCCTGCGGCGCTAGCTTGTGCGGCTAGCTTTGTTCTAAAGCCTGCGGCGCTAGCTTGAGCGGCTGGCTTCGTTCTAAAGCCTGCGGCGCTAAGCTTGAGGGCTGGCTTCGTTCTAAAACCTGCGGCGCTAGCTTGAGCGGCTGGCTTCGTTCTAAAGCCTGCGGCGCTAGCTTGAGCGGCTGGCTTCGTTCTAAAGCCTGCGGCGCTAGCTTGAGCGGCTGGCTTCGTTCTAAAGCCTGCGGCGCTAGCTTGTGCGGCTAGCTTCGTTCTAAAGCCTGCGGCGCTAGCTTGAGGGGCTGGCTTCGTTCTAAAACCTGCGGCGCTAGCTTGAGCGGCTGGCTTCGTTCTAAAGCCTGCGGCGCTAGCTTGAGCGGCTGGCTTCGTTCTAAAGCCTGCGGCGCTAGCTTGAGCGGCTGGCTTCGTTCTAAAAGCCTGCGGCGCTAAGCTTGAGCGGCTGGCTTCGTTCTAAAGCCTGCGGCGCTAGCTTGAGCGGCTGGCTTCGTTCTAAAGCCTGCGGCGCTAGCTTGAGCGGCTGGCTTCGTTCTAAAGCCTGCGGCGCTAAGCTTGAGCGGCTGGCTTCGTTCTAAAGCCTGCGGCGCTAGCTTGAGCGGCTGGCTTCGTTCTAAAGCCTGCGGCGCTAGCTTGAGCGGCTGGCTTCGTTCTAAAGCCTGCGGCGCTAGCTTGAGCGGCTGGCTTCGTTCTAAAGCCTGCGGCGCTGAGCTTGAGCGGCTGGCTTCGTTCTAAAGCCTGCGGCGCTAGCTTGAGCGGCTGGCTTCGTTCTAAAGCCTGCGGCGCTAGCTTGAGCGGCTGGCTTCGTTCTAAAGCCTGCGGCGCTAGCTTGAGCGGCTGGCTTCGTTCTAAAGCCTGCGGCGCTAGCTGAGCGGCTGGCTTCGTTCTAAAGCCTGCGGCGCTAGCGAGCGGCTGGCTTCGTTCTAAAGCCTGCGGCGCTGGCTTGAGCGGCTGGCTTCGTTCTAAATCCTGCGGCGCTAGCTTGAGCGGCTGGCTTCGTTCTAAAAGCCTGCGGCGCTAGCTGAGCGGCTGGCTTCGTTCTAAAGCCTGCGGCGCTAGCTTGAGCGGCTGGCTTCGTTCTAAAGCCTGCGGCGCTAGCTTGAGCGGCTGGCTTCGTTCTAAAGCCTGCGGCGCTAGCTTGAGCGGCTGGCTTCGTTCTAAAGCCTGCGGCGCTAGCTTGAGCGGCTGGCTTCGTTCTAAAGCCTGCGGCGCTAGCTTGAGCGGCTGGCTTCGTTCTAAAGCCTGCGGCGCTAGCTTGAGCGGCTGGCTTCGTTCTAAAGCCTGCGGCGCTAGCTTGAGCGGCTGGCTTCGTTCTAAAGCCTGCGGCGCTAAGCTTGAGCGGCTGGCTTCGTTCTAAAGCCTGCGGCGCTAGCTTGAGCGGCTGGCTTCGTTCTAAAGCCTGCGGCGCTAGCTTGAGCGGCTGGCTTCGTTCTAAATCCTGCGGCGCTAGCTGAGCGGCTGTTGTTCTGCCTGCGGCGCTAGCTTGAGCGGCTGGCTTCGTTCTAAACCTGCGGCGCTAGCTTGAGCGGCTGGCTTCGTTCTAAACGCGAGCGGCTGGCTTCGTTCTAAATCCTGCGGCGCTGGCTTGGCGGCTGGCTTGTTCTAAAGCCTGCGGCGCTAGCTTGAGCGGCTGGCTTCGTTCTAAAGCCTGCGGCGCTAGCTTGAGGGGCTGGCTTCGTTCTAAAACCTGCGGCGCTAGCTTGAGCGGCTGGCTTCGTTCTAAAGCCTGCGGCGCTAGCTTGAGCGGCTGGCTTCGTTCTAAAGCCTGCGGCGCTAGCTTGTGCGGCTAGCTTCGTTCTAAAGCCTGCGGCGCTAGCTTGTGCGGCTAGCTTTATTCTAAAGCCTGCGGCGCTAGCTTGAGCGGCTGGCTTCGTTCTAAAGCCTGCGGCGCTAGCTTGAGGGGCTGGCTTCGTTCTAAAACCTGCGGCGCTAGCTTGAGCGGCTGGCTTCGTTCTAAAGCCTGCGGCGCTAGCTTGAGCGGCTGGCTTCGTTCTAAAGCCTGCGGCGCTAGCTTGAGCGGCTGGCTTCGTTCTAAAGCCTGCGGCGCTAGCTTGTGCGGCTAGCTTCGTTCTAAAGCCTGCGGCGCTAGCTTGAGGGGCTGGCTTCGTTCTAAAACCTGCGGCGCTAGCTTGAGCGGCTGGCTTCGTTCTAAAGCCTGCGGCGCTAAGCTTGAGCGGCTGGCTTCGTTCTAAAGCCTGCGGCGCTAAGCTTGAGCGGCTGGCTTCGTTCTAAATCCTGCGGCGCTAGCTTGAGCGGCTGGCTTCGTTCTAAAGCCTGCGGCGCTAGCTTGAGCGGCTGGCTTCGTTCTAAAGCCTGCGGCGCTAGCTTGAGGGGCTGGCTTCGTTCTAAAACCTGCGGCGCTAGCTTGAGCGGCTGGCTTCGTTCTAAAGCCTGCGGCGCTAGCTTGAGCGGCTGGCTTCGTTCTAAAGCCTGCGGCGCTAGCTTGTGCGGCTAGCTTCGTTCTAAAGCCTGCGGCGCTAGCTTGTGCGGCTAGCTTTGTTCTAAAGCCTGCGGCGCTAGCTTGAGCGGCTGGCTTCGTTCTAAAGCCTGCGGCGCTAGCTTGAGGGGCTGGCTTCGTTCTAAAACCTGCGGCGCTAGCTTGAGCGGCTGGCTTCGTTCTAAAGCCTGCGGCGCTAGCTTGAGGGCTGGCTTCGTTCTAAAACCTGCGGCGCTAGCTTGAGCGGCTGGCTTCGTTCTAAAGCCTGCGGCGCTGAGCTTGAGCGGCTGGCTTCGTTCTAAAGCCTGCGGCGCTAGCTTGAGGGGCTGGCTTCGTTCTAAAACCTGCGGCGCTAGCTTGAGCGGCTGGCTTCGTTCTAAAACCTGCGGCGCTAGCTTGAGCGGCTGGCTTCGTTCTAAAGCCTGCGGCGCTAGCTTGTGCGGCTAGCTTCGTTCTAAAGCCTGCGGCGCTAGCTTGTGCGGCTAGCTTTGTTCTAAAGCCTGCGGCGCTAGCTTGAGCGGCTGGCTTCGTTCTAAAGCCTGCGGCGCTAGCTTGAGGGGCTGGCTTCGTTCTAAAAACCTGCGGCGCTAGCTTGAGCGGCTGGCTTCGTTCTAAAGCCTGCGGCGCTAGCTTGAGCGGCTGGCTTCGTTCTAAAGCCTGCGGCGCTAGCTTGAGCGGCTGGCTTCGTTCTAAA